AATAAGAACAAGGTTATTCACTAAAATTTCAATGGCCCCATACCAAATGGGGCAAAACCATACAGTCCAATACAAATATTGAAAAATCCAGTCGTTATTCATGCCATGTAACAATGTCCGGCAATTTGCATTACAGGCTCTATATGAACCTAAATTTGTTCTGTATTTTAGGCAGACCAAATTCAGGAAATTCACACCTTAACTGTTAAAATCTGCACCCAAATGCTTCAGATTCAGGCATATATTTTAAAAATCCAAACTGTTTGCCTGCTGACAATGCTATTTGGTAATGCTAGTAACCAACAAGCAAATAGTTAAGAAACCCTCAGCAATGTAAGGGTTAACTACTTGATGGCTTACCAGCGCTTGTTAACTAAAGTCCATGGGGGTCTATATGACTCCCATATTTCTAGAAGGGAGGTTTTATAAACCCACCTCTCTTTTAAACCATGCACTGTAGTGGATGTAATACAGACAACTACTGGAGCAGCTTCTGCTGAAGCAGAGGCCCCTATAATGGGGATAGACCGATTATTGGTTTGGCCAATATTATCGGTTGATATTACAGATTTTGGCAAATATCGGTATCGGCCACTATTAATACTGATATCGCCAATAATGTGAGAGGTGGCAGTGGCCCATAAGGCGTAACACGCGGCCGCATTAGGGCATAACGGCTCTGGGGGCGCAAGAATAGAGTGACCTGCAGGAAGGAAGTGCACAGTGCTCCCCCTACCAGTCACTCGGTGTAGCATGGTCGAGTGTAGCAGAGAGGACAGTGGTACAGGAACTTTAGTTTCCTGTACCTAGACGGACTGACAGGAAGTGCTCACTGAGAGGAAATATTCTTGAAAACATAAAAATATCTAACTGGCATGTATTTTTTTTGTGCATTTACCACTTAATAAAAAAAATAAAAAGATTTGCAAAAATAAATAATAAACATGTTCAGTTATCATTTTCTCAAAATGATAAATGTACAGAATATTGGTATCGGTAAGTTATCGGCTATCAGCCTGAAAGTTCACAGATTATCGGTATCGGCTCTAAAAAAGAAATCAATATTGGTCGATCCCAACCCTTTAAGCCTCCAGAAGGATGCATTGATTCAAGGATTTCCTAAGGGGAAGTTTGAATGTGTATGCAGTGCTCACTGCAAATGCGCATTAGGTCCTATAGGAGGAGCATTGCATTGGTCATCACCAAAGGAGACCATTCCTCCTCCATAATGTTGCAGGAGTAGGTGAGGTAAGCCTCATGCTGGAAAAAGTTTCCTTTACTGGTTTGCCTGCTGCTGGATAGTTTGCTATTTGTAGCAGACAAATAGTATTTCAAATTATTATGCACTTGCAAAAAAACAAGTAAACAAAAACTTACGAACATGCATCTCCGACCTACCGGATGCATTAAGTTTAAATGTTTTGTTAAATTGGTGTTCCCTTAGCTGCTATCAAACTGATGAATAACAAATTGCATTAATTAAACTAATGTTGCTATTTGTCCAGTTCAGTCATAAAATAATTTGTTCATATTTATTTGGCAAATGCACTAACTGATTAAATATTTGCATTTATCTGAAAACGAATGCACAAGTCTACTCTAGATTACTTCCTAAAGTATATGAAGTATTTTGATTGTTTCAACATTTCTATGATCTTGGAATTTTCTTCAAAACATTCTTTCTCTTTCACTTTAAAGCTTGGGAAAAATGCTGTCACCCTTTAAGAAACAAAATCATTACATTTTTTTCTTGCTTTTATTCATGACAGCACATGTATTCCACATACATTCCCCATAGAAATGTACTTGTTTGTATATGCATGTTTCAACACAGAACAACAGATTTTTTAGGGGAGTTATTATGGAAAATAAAAAAATTTCTTCACCTGTCTTGAGAGCCACCCAAATGTATATTCTGGATAATTGCCAAGGGTTTTAAATGACTTTATTTGTGACATTTTCCTCTTTGAGAGAATGTGATGCACTATAGGAATCAATTGTCACTTGAAAGTGCTGATTGCTCTTTATAGTAAATAATATATATTTATAACTTTATGGCACTGCATATAGAGAACCTACACACAGACATAATGTATAAGCATAGAAATTCACTTTTACAGAGATTAAAATCTGATGTCCTATGCTACTATCCGAGTCTTATAAAGCCCCATTGCCACCGCAAGCATGAAGAGTCTATGACATATTCACATATTCACCACTCACCCTTCACCACTATCAATGGTTTAATGGTGGGTGGAGAGTTTGAGCCCTGCTATTATATAATATTATATACCAATTAAGAGAACATTTATTTATTTATAAAATGTTTTACCAGGAAAGACACATTGAGATTTCTCTCGTTTTCAAGTATGTCCTGGGTCCACAAAACATTTCATTGATACATTAGGGCACAATAAAATACAAAAACAATATTAATACACAATATATACAAAATTTAACATAGAACAGGTATTGAATATATAATCAACCATAACACGTGCATTCTGTTTTGAGGTATGTAGAGAGGGATCTCTTAAAGCACTTTAGGCTTGGGGAAGATTTTAAAGTGTGCGGGTGGTCGTTCCACAATTTTGGCGCTCTGTAGGAGAAAGAGGATCGGGCCGCTTTTTTTTGTATTGAGGTAGACTAAATAAAGTGCTGGTACTGGATCGGAGGTTTTAGGAGGTGGGAACAGCCGAGGAGAGCATTCTGCTCAGGTAGGGTGGGAGCGTCCCAGAAAAGCTCTTAAACACAAGGCTGGAAAGATGAAGGGTTCCAGCGACAACCAGTTTAGTTCTTTTAACATGTCACAATGGTCGGTCATGTAATTACATTGTAGCACAAATCGGCAGAATGAGTTATACAGTGTATTGAGTTTATTAATGTGGGATTGCAGTGCAGGTGCATATACTACATCCCCATAATCAATGATTGGCATCAGCATTTGCTGTACAATCTTTTCATTTACTGTAGGGCTTAGGCTGGATTTGTTTCTCTACAGGGCACCTAGTTTTGGATAAAGTTTAGATGCAAGTTTTTCTATGTGGAGGCCAAAAGATAGATTGGGGTCTAACAACATACCCAAGTATTTGAAAGAGTAGACTGTGGTCAGTGTGCTATTTGAATTAGTTTTGATGGATAGGTGGGCATTGTGTAACTTGTGTAATTTAAGTGTATCTACAGTTTTTAAAATGTCTAAAAATAATGGCGGTTTAGTTATAAGATGATTATACATTGAGTAAACCTTTACCAACTTTTCCTAATTACTGTTTTTATAATATATAACAGATGTAAAATATATTTTTTTGTGATGGGGTTAAATGGATACATACCAGGTTTTTAAAATAATCTTTACTTATCCTTATATTTAACAAAAATGTACCTGTGAGGTGCAAAGAAAATTTAAATGTAGAAATCCACACCTCTTTATACTGTACATGGGTACCTCTACATTATCTCTTTGTCAATCATTGTTATAATCTCTGTCATTTGCATCTGGCAGTCAACATTAGACTTAGACTTTGCATTTGGCAGTCAGCATAAGCACAATGGAAAAAATTGCTTTGGTCGAGTCATTTTGCCTGGTAAAAAAAAAGTTTGCATAGTAGGATCTTCATCCATGTGGTGATGTGTTTTATAGACTATAAAAAGATTTGGTGAAAATCTTCAGATGAGCTAAGAGGTTGGAAAACACAATGTGCCTATCAGTGTGCTGCAATTAAAAAAAAATGGCTACAATAATGTTGCCTACTTGCCCAGCCTTATGTTTATGCTGTAGTAGGCACTCTGCAATACCAAGTCAAAGAGAAGTTGTATAAAATTAAGATTTTTCTTTTTTGCAGTCTTGAATAAAGTAATATTGGGAGCAGTGGCAATAGTTTTTTTTTTTTAACTGAAATAAAGTAATGTTTTATAAAAATGAAAGAAACGGTCAGTGGGCAATCAATACCTTCATCCCTTGTATCCTAACAAGAACAAAGCATGCCCACACATGCAATCTGTAGTATGAGTAACTGCAGCAGGTAGTAATTTAATTAAAATTAAAAAAAGGATTTAAAAAAAAATGAAAGGGAACAATGCCTGAGCGAGGAATCAATTCACTTTTTTAAAATTGTCTTTCATTGTAGTTGTTTCACCATAACTCCTCCAGTTTTGTGGTAATGCATAAGGTATCTCTGCAGACACAGTTAGTAGAAGCTGATAGGGCACTGTTTTATTCCATACTGAATGATGGTCAATTAAAATACAGACTAGAAGTGAGGAAAAGCTTTTTTTTTCTCAAGGTGGAAATGGTGAGTGGGTTTCAGTTGCCAACTTGGAAAAGAAAGTGTCAGCTTTTTCAATAAAGCCAAATAAACTATGGAGATACTGGAACTAAAGAAACTATGCCTGCAATGGTGGGGGGAATAGATGTATCATAATCACCAGATTCATTACCACTTCCGCCAAGACACTACTTGGTGCTCTATCATTTAAGAAATTCCAGATTTTGTTTACATTTTGTTTTGATAACAACGTGTACATTTGGCTCAGTCCTTAAGGGGTTAAGTAGCAGAACCATTAAAATTCCGCTAATCAAAGAAAACAAAACTTTCAAAAAAGTACCCTACATAAGTATCATAATGGAAAAGTCACATTATAATGCTATCAGAAACACAAAAGCAAAAGGAAATGTATACAAAAAATATACTAAAGTAAAAAAAAGAAAAGGAAAGGAAATTATGACCACAATACTTGAAAACAAGGAGTGCTACAGTGGGAGTTAGTGAAATAAAATAAGTGGAACCAAGATTGGATCAACTACAATAACATAACTTTTATCATAACACCCAACAAATACGACTTTTAAAAACATGTTTTGTACAAAAAGTAAAACATCACCTAAATGGTGCATTAAAGATTCATAATTAGTGATGTCCCGAACTGTTCGCCGAACGGTTTGCGAACGGTTCGCCGTGGACTCATCATTGAGTAAACTTTGACCATGTACCTCACAGTCAGCAGACACATTCCAGCCAATCAGCAGCAGACCCTCCCTCCCAGACTCTCCCACCTCCTGGACAGCATCCTTTGTGAAGCTGCATTCTTAGTGAGCTGTCCAGGAGGTGGGAGGGTCTGGGAGGGAGGGTCTGCTGCTGATTGGCTGGAATGTGTCTTCTGACTGTGGGGTACAGGGTCAAAGTTTACTCAATGATAAGTCCGTGGCGAACCGTTCGTGGCGAACCGTTCGGCGAACAGTTCGGGACATCACTATTCATAATCACATACCAGCTATCACAGGTTACTAAGAAATGTATCACCAAAGGTAAGTAAAATTATTATTATTGGAAAACCCAACATGGTCATATGCCAGCTGTCAAGGATTGCTGGGACAATGTGTCATCAACGGTGAGAAACAGTAAATATAACAGCAACATTCATTATCCCAACATTTAAGCAATATGTCTCAAACTGCATAAGATTAAATTGACTCCTATATACTTTCCTGAGTCAACAGCAGGGCACATTTTGTGACTAAAATGCTTATTTTATTTACTCATCTTAATGCAGAAGGATCACTTGTGATAATTAATGTCATATTTCAGCACGACGCTGCACGCAGTACTGGAATATTACTCAGGATTAAATGATAAAAAAAAAAAAAATGGAGTTGCTTTGAATTTTTTACATTTTCTATTTACTAAATGTTGTCATTAATGCAACTGAATGATTTAAATAGGACAGCCCTAAAATGTTGATATTACATTACATGCATTAATGCATTAAGATATAATATATATATATTATGATATTTAGAAACAATCAACCTAAGTAAAATGTTGAAAGAAGCAATATGTTTAGAAAGGTTATAATTGCATACTTATATGTACATTAATTTCTATGAATGTAAAGACACAATGTCAAGTGGCAATATTAACAGTATTGCATTGCAGAAGAGCCATTTTAAAAGTTTTTCTTTTAATGTTGTGTGTGGGTTGTTATTGTGCATCCTTTTACATTTTACATTCTTCTTTCAAATTTGCAGAATATAGAATATCACATGTGCAGCATTAACCATTGAATATTAATCTATCTTCTGATAGTCACCACTTAGGGGACTCAAGGGGTTAATTGTTCTGAAAAAACACTATATTACTCAGTGTGGTATTCAATCAAATCGTTCAGAGTTTCTGACAAGGTCTCTATCAGACATTCTAGAAGCAAAAACCTACTTGGAAAAAGTGATCATCCATACACATTTCATCTTATAAGAAAGGAAATGCATTTAGTAGTATTACATTGAGTTTATATTCTGTTAAAGTTTTCATCTTAAGATTTTGTTGCCCTAAAGCAGAAGCTAAAACCAAGTTCTGAAGGAAAACGGTTTGCTCAAAATAAGTACGTACATGATTTTTGTTTAGAGATATCATACCATTATTGCAGAGTTTGGGAAGATATGCAAGATGCTATCTCTCTCTCTCTCTCTCTCTCTCTCTCTCTATATATATATATATCTATATATATATATATATATATAGATATATATATATAAAATACACTGCTCAAAAAAATAAAGGGAACACAAAAATAACACATCCTAGATCTGAAATACTTTATTCTTTACATAGTTGAATGTGCTGACAACAAAATCACACAAAAATTAAAAAATGGAAATCTTTTTTTTCATCCCATGGAGGTCTGGATTTGGAGTCACACTCAAAATTAAAGTGGAAAAACACACTACAGGCTGATCCAACTTTGATGTAATGTCCTTAAAACAAGTCAAAATGAGGCTCAGTAGTGTGTGTGGCCTCCACGTGCATGTATGACCTCCCTACACTGCCTGTGCATGCTCCTGATGAGGTGGCGGATGGTCTCCAGAGGGATCTCCTCCCAGACCTGGACTAAAGCATCTGCCAACTCCTGGACAGTCTGTGGTGCAACGTGACGTTGTTGGATGGAGCGAGACATGATGTCCCAGATGTGCTCAATTGCATCTGGGGAACGGGCGGGCCAGTCCATAGCATCAATGCCTTTGTCTTGCAGGAACTGCTGACACACTCCAGCCACATGAGGTCTAGCATTGTCTTGCATTAGGAGGAACCCAGGGCCAACCGCACCAGCATATGGTCTCACAAGGGGTCTGAGGATCTCATCTCGGTACCTAATGGCAGTCAGGCTACCTCTGGCAAGCACATGGAGGGCTGTGCAGCCCCCCAAAGAAATTCCACCCAACACCATTACTGACCCACTGCCAAACCGGTCATGCTGGAGGAAGTTGCAGGAAGCAGAACGTTCTCCACGGCGTCTCCAGACTCTGTCATGTCTGTCACATGTGCTCAGTGTGAACCTGCTTTCATCTGTGAAGAGCACAGGGCGCCAGTGGCAAATTTGCCAGTCTTGGTGTTCTCTGGCAAATGCCAAATGTCCTGCACGGTGTTGGGCTGTAAGCACAACCCCCACTTGTGGACGTCGGGCCCTCATACCACCCTCATGGAGTCTTTTTCTGACCGTTTGAGCAGACACATGCACATTTGTGGCCTTCTGGAGGTTATTTTGCAGGGCTCTGGCAGTGCTCCTCCTGTTCCTCCTTGCATAAAGGCGGAGGTAGCGGTCTTACTGCTTGGTTGTTGCCCTCCTATGGCCTCCTCCACATCTCCTGATGTACTGGCCTGTCTCCTGGTAGCGCCTCCATGCTCTGAACACTACGCTGACAGACACAGCAAACCTTCTTGTCTCATGCTACCACTAGAGTGAAAGCACTGCCACCATTCAAAAGTGACCAAAACATCAGCCAGGAAGCATAGGAATTGAGAAGTGGTCTGTGGTCACCACCTGCAGAACCACTCCTTTATTGGGGGTGTATTGCTAATTGCCTATAATTTCCATGTGTTGTCTATCCCATTTGCGCAACATCGTGCAAAATTGATTGGCACTTAGGTGTTGCTTCCTAAGTGGACAGTTTGATTTCACAGAAGTGTGATTGACTTGTAGTTACATTGTGTTGTTTAAGTGTTCCCTTTATTTTTTTTGAGCATTGTATATATATATATATATATATATATATATATACACACACACACACACACACACACATATATATATACCCATAAACAATCAATCGGCAGTCCTTGCACTCAGGCTATGATAAGTAAATATGTTTGTATACTTGCCGGGTGTTAAACCTGAGACTTTAAATATCAATTAAGAAAGTTGTAATGGCAGCACTCACGGTCTTCAGTTAAAAGTCTTCTTTATTGAACAAGAATTAAAACATGAGGTCTAGGATCAAAGTTTCAGTCCACCAATGGGACTTTCATCAGGATCAAATTATATATATATATATATATATATATATATATATAATAATTCTACGTATATATTTATGTAATAATTTTACATAATTAGGTAATTTTATTAATTACAATTTGCAGGACCTGCCTGACAACCCAGGCCAAAAGTCCAAGGAATTTAATTTGCTAGCACTATATTTAACCCTGTAACTTTCCAAGACACCATAAAACCTGTACATGGGGGGTACTGTTTTACTAGGTAGACTTAGCTGAACACAAATATTAGTGTTTCAAAACAGTAAAGTGTATTACAACGATGTAGAAGGAACACAGGAAGTGTACCTAAGTGGTATAGATATCTACTCAAAAAACTGAGAGATGAGTGTTTGAATCTACACAGAAGATAACTGTCAGACAAAGCACTTAACTGATAAATAATAAAGGAAAAAATAAATAAATTTTATTATAAATAAATAATACTAAAAAACCAAACGTGCTAATGTTCAAAACGTGAACCTAAAATAGGTGCTAAAACTTAACCCCAAAACCAGTTTCCTAATAATATAAAAAAAAATCGTCCAAATGGCCAAAAGGTAATGAAATGTGAAATCTGCTAAAAGGGATTTCAGGAAAGTATGATAGTATCAAGTATCAAAACGTCATGGTATTGAGTATCAGCCAGAATACATCTAATGAAAGTGTCCTTCTAATTGCTTGGTATAGAGAGATCACAAATATTTCAAATGTAGAAAGCCTGTAAGAATGAATGTCAGTCTCAACGAGACTGACAGACGGTCCACAGGCGACTTGGTAGGTATAGAGTATAACTCGAAAACTAAATATCGGCTGATATATTCGAATATCTAAAAGCTGAGGAACTAAATAAAGGTCTTGATATTGTGAGAAAGTCACTGTTTAGTCTAGAAGGTACATAACACAAAATATATAATTAAATTCAAGGACGGAATGCACAGCTCCGATCAAGAAGGAGGATTTTCTCGCTAACAGATCGTTGTTAGTTATCAATCTGCTATTACCCAAATATGGGAAAGCCTGTAGAGCTGAAAATACCTCACAGTATACTAAGATGCTGTGGAATATAACATATTGATTGGTATATCTAACAGATATCAAGAGTCTGAAGAATTGGATAATAGCCAACAGCCCGATGGAGGGAACTGGCAGGCATGATAAATACCTTGCAGGATACTAATATGCTATAGAGTCTAGCTTATATCGATTGGTATATTCTGAAAAGATAGTAGAAACTATCGAATACTGCAACAGTGTGACAGAAATATTAGATGAAAATTAGATCTAATACTCGTTGTCAGTTCCGTGCAGAAATATGCTGTTAATGTTGCGGTTACTCTCTTAATATAGATCTCTAAAAGCACTCTCACGCGGAGCTGATGCTAGAGCTAAACTGCCCCTGTGCCTTCGAGGGCACCTATCTCTCGTCCCACCAGCTACTAGATACAAAATTTAAATGAAAAAGAAAGAAAAGTATCTAAGCTAAATACATTTGAAAGGGATAGTAAAAGCTACCCAATGCTGCAACTATGTAACAGAAATGTAAGGTGAAAGTTTGATCTAGTACTAGTAGTCAGGTTATGCAGAAATGTACCGTTGATGTAGCGGTGAGTCTCTTAATATAGATCTATGAAAGCTTATGACTTAGAGTTTAGCACATTTATCTGCGACCATCCTATAGAGATTTACTAATATTTAATTTACCTTAGATATTTTTCTCTTTTTTTATTTATATCTTGTATCTAGTAGCTAGTGGGACGAGAAACAGGTGCCCTCAAAGGCACAGGGGTAGTCTAGCTCTAGCATTAGCTCAGCGTGAGAGCGCTTTCATAGATCTATATTAAGAGACTC